TGTGCTGAGTGTTTTACAAATATGATCTCATTTGACTCTCACAACAACTCTGTGAAGTAAGTGTTATTGTGATCCCCATTTTATAGATAAAGAAACTGAGACAGACAGATGTTAAGTGATTTGTCCAGCGTCACACAGCTATTAAGTAACATCTTAAACTATAACAGTTTGGTAAAGCTATTGACATCTCAGAACTTACTTTTGCTTTTTTTTCTATTCCTGTCTTTTATCATCTTTGCCCATTTGCTAGATATAAAGTGAAACCTCAGGGTTGTTTTGATTTGAATTTCTCTCATTATTCAGGATTTAAAGCATTCTTTCATATAGTTAGTAATAGTTTTCAATTCTTTTGAGAACTTTTTGTTCAGATCCTTTAATTATGGGGAATGATTTTTGGTCCTTTATATTTCTATTAATTATCTAGCTTGATATCTTGGATATTAAATCTTTATCAATGTATTCTATCCAAAGACTTTTTTCTTCCATTAGCCAACTTCCCTTCTTATCCTGAATACATTGATTTTGTTTTTGCAAAAGCTTTTTGATTTCAGGTAATCAAAATTATCTATTTCATCTTTTGTAACTGCCTGTATTCTTTGTTCAGGGAAGAATTTACCATCTGTTCATAGCTGTGAAAAGTATATAATTTACCTTCTCTTCAAATTTTTTATAGTGTAATTTCTAATATTCAGGTCACCTATCCATTTTAAATTTACTGTAGACTATGGTTTGAAATGTTAATGTAAGCCAAATTTCTTCCAGACTGCTATCCAGTTTTCCCAGCAGTTCTTATCACATATGGAGCTATTTCTTAGGTAATTTATGTTTGGGGGTTTCTTGAATGCTGGGTTATTGAGTTTAATTATTTCTGAACCTTTCTTCTGTAATCTGTTTCACTGATCTACTATTCTAATTTTTAACCAGTACCAAATGGTTTTGTTGATTGCTGCTTTATAATAGATTGGAAGGCTAGACATCTTCCCCTCCTTTTTTTCCTACATTTTTTTTTCAATATTTCCCTCGATAACATAGATCTTTAGGCAATTAATTTTGCTATTATTTAATCTAGGTCTGTAAGTATCCCTTTGGTAGTCTTATTTATATAGCATTAAATCTGTAAATTAACTTTGATAGTGTTATCATTTTTATTTTATTGGCATGGCCCAGCCATGAGCACTGAATAGTCTCCAGCTATTTAAGTTGCTATTTATTTCTTTAAGGATATTTTTTGTAATTAAATCTATGTAAGTATGGAGTGTCCTTTTGTAGATTAATTTCTAAATATTTTCTGGATTTTTGTAGTTATTTTGAATGGGACTTCTCTTACCATCACTGTCTTCTATATTTTGTTATTATTACATGGAAATTTTATTGAATCTGTGGGTTTATTTTTTAGCCTGCAATTTCAGCAAAGCTATTAATTGTCTAAATCTTTGCCAATTCCCTTGGATTTCTAAGTAAAACATCATGGTATCAGCAAATAAGGATAGTTTTGTGTCCACTTTGCTGATCTCTTCCTACTCTGTCTTTCACTTTCAGTCTGCCCCGTCTTATTATGATTTATCCCATAGCTAGATTAAAAAAAATGAGTATGCTTATGTGTATCGTTATTTGAGGGATAGACGTTGGGAACAAAAAATGAAGTCTACAATAAGAGCAGTAGATGCATCTATTCCCATGTCCCCTGGCCTTTTCTTTATTTATTATATCTTTTGCCACATATGGAGTTACCTTGCCACAGTAACCCTGTTACACATATAGTGCTTATATGTTGTATAAGTTTTCTCATTTGAAGAGACTTCATCAAGATAATGGCTCTGAAAGAGTATGCCACTGTCCACTATTATGCTGCAAGTTTTGGCAGGTATGGCAAGAACTTTGGGATATTATGCTATATAAATTATATATATATATATATATAAACATATACAATAATATATATGGATTATAAATATAGATATAATATAAATTTACTTAACCAGCATATAAAGTAGGTTAAATATGTTAGCCATGAAATAAACAAAATTTACCTATTACATACATATATCAACATCTAATGTGTCAGACCTTAAAATTGTTAAGAAATGAACTCTTATTAAAGGGAAATTGGGCATGCTCGAGCCTCTCATAGTGTTGCTAACTTAAATGTTCAGTGTACCGTGATTCTTCACAGCACAGAATATTGTAACATGAGCAAAATTTGATTGAGAACTTCAGGTCTTAAGTCCTTCTCAGCTCTAATATTTTATCAATCAGTAAGGTATTTAATATAAGTCCCTAGGTCTTTGGGACTTTGTTACCCAATGACATATAACATGAATATATCAAATATTGATTTCACAATGCCATAAGTGAAAAGAGGATTCAAAGGACACTCTTAGCTATTTAAAAAAAAATAGGAATGTTTTCTCCAACCTTGACCTAAGTGTAGAGATTTAAAACAACTCCCAAGATCTCCAGAGGGTATTTAGAACCTAAAATGTCTGAAGGAAAATCTTTCTGAAGAGTTTTTAATATCTATTCATTAAATCACATTGACTTCACTGCTGATCATTATGGAAGCTTTGACCTGCTCTGTTGCTAACTTAGGCATCCTGCCCCCCTTCAGCCACTCCACTCCATATTAAAGTTCACCATATTAATGCTTACCATATTAATGTTCAACTTAGTCCAGCTTCCCATTGACTTAGCCCTTGAGCTCAAGTGAATTACTAGCCTCCCCAGTAGTAGGAATTACAGACATGTACCACCATGCCAAGCATGGAACTTACATTCTAATGGTGAAGATAACACATAGATATATAAAGTATATATCACAAACATGCAAAGCAAATGCAAGCTAAAAAAGCATTATTATGTGCTTCTTGTAATTTTTACTTAGTTATATTTCATTATCGTGTTACAATGTAATTTATACACATAGTTTGCTGGGAAAATAATTATACCGATATGATAAACTAGAAAGAGCTCTAGATATGGTTTTAAAGACTTGGGTTCAAATCCCATTTCTGATACTTAGTCCCTCACGTTCCTCTGGACTCCAGTTTCCTCATCTGTAAAAGAAGAGGGTTAAACTTAATGATCTCTGTTGTCCCTTCCAACTTTATATCCTGTGATTCTAAAACAGCCTGTATACGTATTCTCACGAGACATTGTTGTCTCACAAGATAGCTTTTATAGCTATGTCAAGACAATTATTTTCTCAACTACCAAGTTGAAAATTTTCTAACATAATACCAGATCAGTTCTAATGTCTGGAGAAGAGATTATGGAGCGTGTCTAAGCACATTCTAAAAGAGAAAGACTAAGACTACCATTGAACTGAAATTTGAACTAGTAAGAAAGGATAGGGCTAGAAAATAGAAATCACCAACTGCACTAATAAAAAACAGAAAGAAAATAAAAAGTAGAGCTATTGAATTTAGAATCAGAGGTGTCACATTCTTGGCCCATAGACTGCTGGAGTTAAATTAACATGTAATTGAAAAATGTTTAACAGTATAAAGATACAATACAACATAAATAATTCCAATTTGTGATTTTCTAAGTCAATATGCCTCTGGAAGGGATTCGTTTCTATCTGAGTTTGACACCATTGGGTTAGGTGATAGGATTTAGTCAAAGGACAAAGAGGAAGTAGCAGGCGTCCGAATGGAAGAAGAGAAATGATAAAGCAAAAAATATTGTGGTCTTACACTTTAAATCAGCAATACCACTACTAGGCATATACTTCCGAAGAGATAAAAGAAAGAAGAAAAGGACTCATGTGTACAACTATATTGATAGTAGCTTTTTTTATAGCAGTCAGAAACTGGAATCTAAGAGAGTGCCCACCTGTTGGGAAACGGCTAAAAAAATATGATGATCATGCACCGTGAGGCAGGAGCTACGGCGGTTAGGGGCGGAGGGAGTCCTGGAGTCATAGTCGAGGTTGTGTGTTAGGACGGACTGGGCAAGAAGGTCCGCGTGAAGCGCAGCACTGACAACTCAGTAGGAGACCTGAAGAAAGTGATTGCGGCTCATACAGGCACCAGCTGGAAACATGATTGTTCTAAAGCAATGGTACACAATCTTCAAGGACCACGTGACTCTGAGGGACTATGAGATCCACGATGGAATAAACCTAGAGCTTTATTACCAATAGGGGTAGCAACACCCCATCCCCCAAATCAGCACCTCTCTTCCCTTTTCAAAAGTCTAATAACTGCAATGCTGGTGAAAAAAATATGATGATATGTGAATGTAATGAAATGTTAATGTAAAATAAGACATGATGAAATACAGAGTTACAGAGGAAACTGGGAAGACCTCTGCAAACCGATGAAGAGTAAAGTGAGTAGAACCAGAACAATTTCTAAAATGACATCCTTAAAAAAAAGACAACTTTGAAAGACTTAAGAACCCTGATCAATGCAATGACAAGCCATTATTTTAGAGAACCAAAGATGAAGTATGTTAATCACTTTCTGCATGAGAAGTGAAGGACTTTAATGCAAAATGAGACATACATTTTTTGACATGGGGGCATTAGTTATGGTGGATGATACATATTTGGTAAGAGTGTTTGTTTTTGTTCAGTTGCTGGGTGGAGGGGGAGAGAAAACAAATGCTTCCCAAAAAATTCTTTTGTTTTTTTAAATGAGAGAAGAATAACAAGGCAACAAAGAGAAAAGAGCATGGAAGAACATGCCAACATCTTAGGCTTGGATGATTAAATATACAGCGGTTTCCCATACTAGCAATGAAAAATGTTCTTTTAGGAATGTTTCTTCACGTTTCACAACATGTGATCAAATATAAGCAACTAGCAGAACACAGCCTCCTTTAGGAGATGAACTATTCTATATTTGTCTTTGCAGTCTCACAACTCAGCACAGTGCCTTGAGCGTACTAAGTGCTTATTAATTGCCTATCAAATTGAATTGAACCAAATTCAATGTAAAACTACATACTTTAAAGGAGTGGTTTCAAAACATGTACCAATATTGAATGATGCTTACCTGTGGCATTCACAATTCTATTAGCACGAATAGATCCCTGTGGGGTTTCAATGTCCCATGCCCCATCTGATCTGGGTTTTAGATTAGTCACTGGAGCAGGAAATTTTAGTAGAGCACCATACTTCCAGGCCCCAGCAGCCAGCGCCATAGTGAGAGAATAAGGATCTATGTGACCATCTCCAGGATTATAAAGTCCAGCTAAAACCTAAATGGATTACAAGATGAATTCAACCAAATGCAGAGTTTTTCTGCTAGGGATATTTCATCTCCACATATGAATAAAATCAGATTTTTGAAACCTAATGCACCACTTAGTATGGTATAGACTTTAAAATTTTTTAAAATATCATTTTATTTTTTCCCTAATCACATGTAAAGGCAATTTTTAACATTGTTTTTTTTTAAACTTGAGTTCCAAATTTTCTCTCTCCCTCCCTCCCTCCCCCCTTCCTGAGGCAGTAAGCAGTTTGATATATGTTATACATATTCAATCATGCAAAACATATTATCATATTAGCCATACTGTGAAAGAAGACACAGACCTAAAGGGAAAAAAAAACTACAAAAAATTACAGAAAGTGACAAATAGCATGCTTCAGTCTGCATTCAGACTCCATCACTTCTTTCTCTGAAGGTAGATAGCATTTTTCATCATGAGTCATGGTATAGACTATTCCCAGGGTGCTTTTCTCTTATGTAATTGAGGCACATGCAACATGTAAATAAAAATTTCAGCAAAGAGGCCTTTTCAAAGGCTTTCCCGTGGTTTTCATTTTCTTAGTAAATAATAATCTTTATCTAGCTGTTTAATGTTTTTCATAAACTGGAAAGTTAGCAAGGTACAGAAAAATGTACACTTTGACAAAACATTACTTCAAAGCTAAAGCAGTACTGAGAACTAAATTATATTTTGAATTCATTCAACAAATATTTATTGAGTATCTTCTATATACAAAGCACTCTTGATTTAAATAGGGATTCATATTATTAAACACTTCCAAATGTCCTGTTTACATTTGAGAAGGCTTCCATTTGCAATGGATTGTTTACTTATCTATTTGATTTGATGTTCTGCCCATTGACTGTTGAATATGCTGCATACATATTCACAGTGCCTACTGAGGAATAGAACACATAGTATATTTAAATAACTTAATGATAAATATGTGTGTATACACACATACATATATACATACATACATACATGCACACATACATATAATTCTTAGGGAATCGCTCTGAGTTTGAACAAAAGTACTCAGATAGTCAAATGGACTTGGGGTTTCATCAATTTGAAGTCAAATTGATTGCTTTCCCCACAGTCAGTCAGTCAATAAGCATTTATTGTTTACAATGTGCCACACACTGTGCTAGGAATGTTCCTTCTTACTATGTACATGTATGGCAACTCATCCACGTTTGACTATCCTCTTCCAACTTTTGTCCATGTCCTATCATAAGTTCCCCACAAAGAGAGGCTCAGGAGGGAGGGAATTTGTCTACTATGTGCCAGGCACTATGCTAAGCCCTTTACAAATATTATCTTATTTGATACTCACAACAACCCTGAAAGGCAGGCACTATTATGAACCGCCTTTTACAGCTGATAAAACTGAGGCAAACAGAAGGTCATATAGCTGGAGTCTGAGGCTGAATTTGAGCTCAGGTCTTCCTAACTGTGTCACCTAGCTGCCTCAAAGGGTCCACCCAATTTGTTGGTGACTTCCTTATTTATTCCTAACATGGAGAAGATACTAGTACAGCACTCTGTGGATTCTGTGTGTACTTGTGGGAGAGCATATCATAGACATCTGGAGTATATGTTTTGTACCAATTATTCTAACTATATTACATTAGTAAATATCCCTTTTCTAAGAACTAATTAATATCAATCAATAATCATGGCAGGAAGTACACAAGTGGGGATTTATGAGCTCTAGTATTAAAACAAAATAACCCCCAACACCTCAAAGCTACCTTTAGGATCTAAAAGAATGTAATTCCCATGCTATGGGAACCTGACTCCTCAGTGAGAGTTGGGATAACCAACTCAGGACATTCACTACATAGTGTTCTCTCTCTCTTTCTCTCTAAATACATACATACATACATATATACATACATATATATATATATGTATATGTGTGTGTGTGTGTGTCTGGAAGAACAAAGTTTACAAATACTTAAAACAGAAATTTAATAAATATATATATGGATATATCCAATCTGTCTACACATACATGCATACATACACTAAAGGACAAGCTCTATCGATTGTCCATCTAACCTCATTTCATACAGACATTCTTCAACCCACTGGGTTTTTCCTTTGGGGATGAATAGTTAGGTTCTCTTCCAGGAGTCTATAATATTTTAGGGCTTAATGAAACCAAGTCAATGTCATCCACAAATAGGTTGCATCTTGAGGACCTCAAAATCCACAAGAAATTCATCTTAAACATGTAATTTTATGATGGATTTCCTCCACAACAGTAGCAAATACCTTAAGTGAGCATATGTATGTCCATGCTTTGTGCTTTGCTGATATTTATGTATAACCAGGGGTTGCTCCACATGAAGGTCATGAAGCCAGAGGCATAGAGGAGTGTGGAAGCTAAGAGAAACTAATAGGATTCAGCTCAGAGACAAATGCAACACCACAATCATCTGGGGAATTCAGAGCAGAGTCTCAATGCCCTGCAGGCAGATACCTGTCCCTCCACTTTCCACAGTAATGACTCTAGGACTCTGGTGAGTCTCCCTTGATCTTGATCCCAAGACCAAGATTACAATGATTCAATGTAATCCAATATGTCCTCCAATTGGGGAATGGCTGGATATGTGATTATGATGGAATATTATTGTACTATAGGAAATGAGGAGCAGGATGATCTCAGAAAAACCTGGAAAGACACATGAGTTTATGCAAAGTGAACTGTATTGTGTACAAAGTAGCAGCAATATTGTAGGATGATCAGCTGTATTCACAGTTATTATTATTATTATTATTATTGACTTTGCTATTCTCAGCAATACAATGATACAAGACAACTCTGAAGGACTTATGATGAAAAACGCTATCTATCCTCAGACAAAGAACTGATGGCATCTGAATACAGATTGAAGCATACTTTTTTTTTACTTTTTTTATTTTTCTCGAGGGTTTTTTTGTCTGTTTTCTTTCACAACATGACTATCACGGAACTGTTTTGCATGACTACACACATATAACCTATATCGAATTGCTTGCCTTCTCAGTGGAAGGGGGCAGAAGAAAGGAGAGAATCTGGAACTCAAAGTGAATGTTAAAAATTGTTTTTACATGTAGCTGGAGAAAAATAAAATATTAAATAATTGTTTTTGGTTTTGGCAGACTTTTTCTATTTTCTTTGTTTTTTCTTTCTTTGATTCTCATCCTTAAATGTCCAAAGGACAGATTTGCTTCCTTGGATCTCTTTCTAAGCTTTCTTTACATTGATTTTTGCCTTCCATTGTTTCTCTTTGTATTATGAAGCAATGCTGCTCAAACCTTCCATCATCCCTTTCCAAAAGATTTTACAAATTAGTTTACAGTCTAAACTCTAAAGCATTGTTTTCCTTGGTTGCCACATATCTCTTCTTGGCAAATAGGTCAATAAACTTTTACTGACAAAAGAATTGTTGAAGTGTTTTTGGTCTCTATGTTATGCCAATTGATTTGTACAGGTTAACTTTCTTTGTAAACTTTGTCTGTTCTTCCAGCCATATCCTATCTTTCATGATTAACAATTTCACAAATAGGTCAGGATAAAATTGTTTTAGTGATAAACTACACTTTTTCCCACTTTTATTATTTCTTTTATTTTTATACTAATTTTTATCTTCGCTCTATCAAGTTGGTAGTCTGACTTTACACAGACAGCTGATTAAAGAGTAATTCCCAAATCAGCATTTAATTATTTCCATCTTTTTGATGTTATTTAGTGCTTGCCATGTCCACAGGATAGACCAGGGGCTGGGGCAAGGAGGGGGGTGGAAGAGGAGGAGGTAACAAATTCAATTTGACACCTCTGCCTCTTAGAATCTTTAGCTTTCCTCAAGACTCAGTTCAAATGGTACCTTCTGCAGGAGTCCTTTCCCACTACTGTTCCACTCTCCACCAGGCACAGGAGCCTTCCTTTCTAAGATTGCCTGCTATCTATGCTGTATCTTTTCTATGCATATTATTTATGTTTTGTCTCCCTCCTAAAAATGTAAGCTATGTCAGAGCAGAAACTGGTTTTTGCTTTGCTTTGTGCCTCTAGACTGGAGCAAAGACATAATGTCTGGCACAGAGAAGGTGCTTGATACATGCTTTTTGATTGGTTAATTCATTGACATGTTGAGTTTAAGGTACCAGGTAGACAATTATGTGGAGATGTCCATAGGTAACGGGCTGAAAATGAAGGTCTGGAGCTTGGGAAGGGGGTCTGGATTTGAGTTATAGGTTTAGAACCATTTCCACAGTGGTGATAGTTGAAAGTATGAGAATGAATGATATTGCCAAAGAGAGGAGAGAGAGAAAGAAAAAAAGAGGGTCCAAGGACAGAATTGTAGGGATTTCTTCATTAAGGGGCAGGAGGAGCATGGGGGTAGGGAATAATATTATAGGCACAGTATTTCTTGTTCAACCTGATTCTCTGTCTTAGTAATTTTTTTTTTGTCTAAACACTACAGCATATATCTCTTTGCAAGTTTGATACAAGGTCTCTCAAGGAAGTTTAGAAATAGCTTGAATCATATTTGAGTATTGTGGGTAATTAGAATAAGTTTCTTATTCTGTTCCTCTTTTATTTAATAAACTATAAATACTACATATCAACATTATATATAATATGTAAAACTATAAATTAATTACCATAAATACTATATATTGATATTATGTATATGCATACTATATACATGATCCTCACACTATCTAGTCAGGGTTTTTTTTAATTAAAAATTTTTTTTACTATTCTTTTTTTATTAAACATTTATTAATTTATTTTTAGTTTTCAACATTCACTTGCACAAGATTTTGAGTTCCAAATTTTCTCCCCATTTCACCCCTCCCCACCCCAACATGGTGTGCATTCTGAATACCCCTTCCCCTAATCTGCCCTCCTTTCTATCACCCCCACTTCTCTTATCCCCTTCCCCTTCTATTTTCCTGTAGGGCAGGATAGATTTCTATACCCCTTTGCCTGTATATCTTATTTCACAGTTGCATATGAAAACAATTTTTAACATTTGTTTTTAAAACTTTGGGTCCCAAATTTTCTCCCTTCCTCCCTCCCCACCCACCCTCATTGAGGAGGCAAGCAACTCGATACATGTTATCATGTGTAGTCATACAAAACACTTCCATAGTAGTCATGTTGTGAAAAACTAACTATATTTCCCTTCATCCTATCCCACCCCCCATTTATTCTATTCTCTCTTTTAACCCTGTCCCTCCTCAGAAGTGTTTGCTTCTGATTACCTCGTCCCCAAATCTGCTCTCCCTTCTATCATCCCCCCATTCTCTTATCCTCTCTCCCTCTATTTTCCTATAGAGTAAGATAGATTTCCACACCCAATTGAGTGTGTATGTTATTTCCTCCTTAAGGCAATTCCAATGAGAAAAAGATTCACTCTAATAAGATCCTCACACTATCTAGTCAGGATTTTTTTCTTCTTCTACAATTCTCAAAGAAAGTTTAACTATAAAGGAACTTAGACCTACTTTTCCTCCCTTTAGTGCAGTTATAGAAAAGTGTTGAAAATGTATCTTCAAATGGTAAAGAAAGGAAAACCAATTCTTTATTGCATTTAACAGATGTAATGCTCAGCGTAACAATCTCTCAAAGACTTGCATCTATTCACTAAGTTTTGATCTTTAAAATGAACACACAGTGCCCTAAATTGATGTGTTTCTACCTATGTAGAAACTTCAAAAGTGATCAATTCAGTAAGTATCTGAGGGCCTACTTCAGAAAGAATACCTTTTCCATGTTCAGTAAGGGAAACATCTCTTGTACTTTTTCAGGCTCAATAAGATACTGTTCCGTAGCATGCCAGCGAGTTCGAGTCATTTGATATTTAAACTCATCCACCCTTTCAGGAGTTGTGGCAATTCTGATGCTTCCAGGCCGATGGAAGCCCACCGCCTGTTAGAATAATCACAAGAAAAGAATATTACAAATTGTCGTTAGGAAAAAAAAAAACTATGTGTTTTCTCCTCTAGCTTTTTGAAAAATGTGAGTGTGTGAGAAAAGATTTACTAAAAAAATGAAGTATCATAATATTGGTTAACATTTTAGCAAAAAGATACAGCAGAAAAATGGAGAAGAAAATGGCAAGCCGTTCCAGTATTTTTGCTAAGAAAGCCCCAAATGGGGTGGCAAAGAGTTGGACACAACTGAAATGACTGAACAACAATGGCAGAATAAAAACATAGGCACTACCATATTTGTATATTGATAAAAAGACATGAATATGCACATGCAGATTAGGAGAAAATCATGTGAAAGAGCATGAAATTGAGGAAACTATGTGGCAAGTGGGATCATGATTTGGTATTAGTATAAATCTGAAAGACAGGGACAGCTAGGTGGCCCAGTGGATAGAATGCTGTGCCTGGAGTCAGAAGGTTGTTGTTTAGTCGTTTTCAGTCATATCAACTCTTCATGCCCCCATTTGGGGTTTTCTTGGCAAGGGTACTGGGGTGGTTTGCCATTTCCTTCTCCAGTTCATTTTACAGATGAGGAAACTGAGCCAAACAGAGTTAAATGACTTGCCCAGGGCCACACAGCTAGTAAGTGTCTGTGGCTGAATTTGAACGCAGGAAGAGGAGTCTTCCTGACACCAGGCCCAGCACTTTATCCACTGCACACAAATAATAGTTAGATATTATTTCAGCTACATTATTTGTTAATTGTGAGCTTGCCTGGGAATTTATCCACCATTAAAAATATGGGAAAATGTGACCTGAATTTCAATTCAAAGCAACAGAAATGTATCTCTTCTTACTGTAGCTTTGAAGGTGAGCAAGGATTTCCTCCTGGCTCTGGCAGTGAAAACAGGGACTTCCATACTCCCACAATAGTGAGAGAAGCAGTCCCCATAGCAGGAATTGATATTGTCTTCAAAAGCCATAATTCACATGTACATGTATAAGCCATGTTGGAAAATTCTGACTCTTGGGAACTTCCAGTGATGATGATGATGATGGTGGTGGTGGTGATGCTGAAGCTGATGATGGTGATAACTATTTGTGTATGGGGGAAGGTAGTGATCAAGGAAATTTGTGATTAATGTGATGATTTTCCCAATCAACTTGATGAAATTAAAGGGAGAGAAGTATAGAGAAGAAGATCACATACTCTAAAGAATCTACAAAATTTCATCATCTGCCTTTGTTTGGAAACATATAGAGGTCACCTCCCCATGATTTGTTTTATTTTGTGTCCTGTAGGTCAGTCTTTCTCTTTGTCTCTCTTTAAAAAAAAAACAAAATACACAAACAAAAACTGTAAACACAGGATAATCAATTTCATTACTTTTTCTTTCTTGGTTACTTATACTTATTTAACTTTGTGTTTCTTTTGTTCATAAGTCAAATATTCTGCTCATGTCTAGTTTGTTGTTTGGGGTTTTTTTATAGGGGTGCCTCCAATGACTCTTTTGTGGAGCATCCATCTTTTTTTTTTAAAAAAACTAATGATTAGACTCAGATTTGAAGTATATCATTTTGAGTTACAGCTTAAGTTCCTTTACTTTCAGGATATACTGCTCCTTTTCCTTTTGTGCCTTTTTTGTAGCTGTAGAAAAATCTTATTAAATTCCTTTTATTTTCTGTTTGAAGGTATTTTTCCTGGCCACTGTTAAAACTTGTTGTTTTTTATTGAAATTGTTAAATTTAGCACTGTTTATCCTAGATTAGTATTTTATTATTTATTTCTTTCCTAGAAGTAATCTGTGGATTTTCTCAATTAGTTATATGTATTCAGAAGTTGTGACCAGTTTTCTTGGATTTGTCCCTGCATTGTGATATTCAGGTTTTTTGATGTGTCATGTTCTTCTGGGAGATCTGTAATCATTATTATATCTCTATGCTTCTTGTTTTTTGATGTCAATGGCTTTTGCTTGTATAGAATTTACATGTTCTTTTAAAATTGTTGCCCTTTGTTTCTCTTATGCCAGATAATTTCTGTCCATTTCAATATTCTTGAATTTCAAATTTGTTATTCTCTCCACTTCTTTTGAGAGATTATTCATTGTGGATTTAATTTTTCTCATCTGTTGAGTTTTAAGAGTCTGTCTCAAGAGCTCTAAATTCTGACCTATATTCATTTCTAATTCCTTCTTCTATGAATTTCACTTCTCTTTAGTTCCTTTTTGTTTTTCCATGTACTCTTGGAAATATACAAACTTCTGTATTTCATCAGTAATCTGTAACATCTGTAACATACAGTAACATCTGTAATTCATCAATTTTCTTTTGCTTTGTAATTTGTCAAGAGATAGCTTTGTATTCTCTTTGATAATTTATTACACATTTTTCAGGCTTTTGAGTTTTCACTGTTGATTTGTTTGGTTTTGCTCTGGGCTTTTAATGAGAAGTTTTCTCCAGAAATCTTTAGTGTTTCAACCTTAAAAAAAATTCCCCCATCACTCATGTTCTGGCTTCTATAAGTCTTTCTTGATGGGTACATCCCTGAGGGTAGGTTGCAAGGCTGCCTCCGGCTCCTCAAGCATTGGAACACATGGGATTTTCTGGTGGGAGTAATCCCAGGGCCAGGGTTGGGGCAGGGAAAGACTGGTCCCAGTTGGATTTAAGTCTCCTTTCCTTCAGACTTGGCAGAGCCATAGGTATTGGCCCCTGCTCCAGTTCTTCCTTTTGGTCTCCTCCTTTCCTTCTCATAACTGGGCTGAATCTGTATCTGCGCTTTTTCTGGGTTGGAGAAAGTAGAGTTTTTCAGACCACAGAGGCTCTATGGCCTTGAGATTCCTTAACCTAGGGCCAGACCCTAGGCAAAAGGCAGCACATTTTTAGTTCTCCCTTTTCTTCTTATTTAGATGGGCAAAGTTAGTGCTTGCGTCTTCCTGCTGGGTGGAAAGACAGTAGTGAATACGACAGAGTCTCTGTAGCAAGCGGAGAGGTTTTGCCGGGTCCCAGATAGAAAACCATAAGCCAGCTTGTGTTCCTGTTTCAGGAAGATGGAGGCTGATTCAGGAGGATTGCTGAGTGAATGCTTTAAGAATTAAAGTTGCCCAGTGTTGAATCATACAGATTTTATTCTTTTTCATAAAGTTTCAGCTGTTTTCTCCACATCTGGCACTTTTTCTTTTTAGGATTAGAGAGCTTAAAGGATCTGAGGAAAGTTATTAATATGTCAATTTGATAGTCACATGACTTTGAAGTCTACTAGGTCATTTTCGTCACCTCCCCATGGAAGGTATGTATGTGCATTTGTGCCTTGCAGAAAGTACATGGAGTACTCCTGATAACTGGCTGGATGCGATTCAAAAGTATGGACTTCTATCAAAGAAATTGTCCCTCTCTGTGTTCTATTAAAGCAAGCTGACAGACAAGCTCTCTCTCCCTTTTCACCTTCAGAAAACAAACTAAAGGACAACAGAGCAGACCTGGGGGGGAGGGCAGAATCTGTTCCCATGCATAGTTCCCTGCCCCCACTCTCCACCCTCCCTCAGCCCTGCTTATAGCAGAAATATATGGTGAAGGTAGACAGGTATTTGCATGTTCCCCAAGAGGATATTTAATTGACAATATACCTGAATTCTGGCTTCCTGTGTAGAGAAGGGGGAATTTTGAGTCCTCTAGTCAGAATGATTACAGAATCTAGCCTTCTAGCCAAAGAAGAGAAATCTCCTAAAGTGCAATAACTTTGGCGGCTTACTTCATGGGTAACTCCAAGTTTGAGTGTACCTGATTTGAAAATTCAGAGAATGGACTTTCTGGAGAGAGCAGGGAATTTCCTGATGCAATGAGCTCCCCAAAGAGGGAAAAGTATCAAAACATGTAATCCTGAGCAGTATCATATTTGAAGAGCAAGGTTGGGAAGTTCCTCAGGCAGCGAAGATCTGTCTAATGGGAAGGGGATTGCTTGTGCAGCAGCCCCCAGTGTATGTTTACCTTCCAGCAAAGTCCAAACTATAGGGTGGAAAAATGAGTCCTGACGGGACTGCCTAGAACTTTGTGGGGAAAGTGAGAATATCAAAGAGTTGCCCTGATAGCAACTCCAAGATCGGTTCCCTTCTTAGTGGTGGTGGTGGGTGCAGGGTAGGGGAGAGGAGGGTGGAGCTGATGGACTCTTTGAGTGCTTCACATATTTCTGCATCTGTTTATGGGCTCCTATGAATCCTTTGTGTCTCGTGCATTTTATGTGGGGTGAAATGAAATTAGGTCTCATACCTAATATTTGTACTATACCCTGAATGCAAGAAGTTTGGTATTCCTTTTACCTACACTTGGGGAAACACAGAGATGAACAATACCCTGAACATATCATCAGATTTTCTTGGAACTCCAGGTATTGGCAATGAGCCAAAAGGAAAAATTGATCCTTTGGGACCGATCTCCATTATTGGACTCAGTTTGTATGAGCCCAGAACCTTGGGCTAATGGTTGATAATTCAGAGGTTCCCAAAGTGGTCAGCATCATCTCCTGAGGGGTGCTGGAATGATCTAGGAGGAAGGTAGTAGCCTCAGGTACAATTGGGGGGCATTGAATAAAAATAAGGGAGCAGTGTAAGCATAAGGAAAGAGGAGAAGATAAGAAATTTTTGAAAAACAGTTTGTACATGTTTCATCTGTTGTGTAACAGAGTTAAAGTCATACTGATTTTCCAAATAAACACACAAAATGCAATATCAGTGGTCAAGTCCACTGACAGGTCTTAACAAGCAAGTGTTGGCAGCAGAGCCTATAGCGTATTGTCAGGAAGTCCAGCACGCATAAGCAGGAATATGAGTGTGTAATGATTTATTTACAATGTGGTACTACATGGCTATATGATGAAACATTGCACCATCAAAATTTCAATACAGGAAAAATTCACAAATTTACAATAAATTATTAAATTTAAGATGTGTCACTTTTTAAAAATATATTACATATATTTTTCAAAATGACACAAATTTCAAAAACCCATTAAGGGGTTAAAGAAAGTAGATTTCTAGGGGGCACTGAGCAACTTTTTTTAAAAGGGGGTAGTAGGCCAAATAAGTTTGGGAACTTCTGATATAGATTATACAACAATACGTTGCTAGGTGGCTCAATGTAGAGCACTAGACCTAGAGTTAGGAAAACCTGAATCCAAATCCAACCTAAATTCCAGCTAAAATTCTGCCTTCTATAGGAAGCCTTTCCAATCTCTCTTAGCTTTAGTGACTTCTCTTTATTAATTATGACCTATTTATCTTGTGTATATTTGCTTGTCTCCCCCATTAGATTGTGAGCTCAATGAGGACAAGGACTGTCATTTGTCTCTTCTTATATTCCCAGAGTTTAGCACAATACCTAATACATTGTTGTTGTTGTTGTTGTTTTTAGTCTTGTCTGACTGTTTATGACCATAACAAGCCAATGCCGTCCATAAGGTTTTCTTGGCAAAGATATGGAGTGGTTTGTCATTTCCTTCTCCAGTGAATTAAGACAAACAGAGGTTAAGTGACTTGCTCAGGGTCACACAGGTAGTAAGTGTGACCTGACTTGAACTGAGGTCTTCCTGACCCTAGGCCAAGCACTCTATCCACTGAGCCATCTAGCTGACTTTGCCTGGCACATAGTAGATGCTTAATAAATATTTATTGATTGATTCAATTGGATGTGATACTTAATTACCAGTTTGATGTTATTACCCCTTTCCCATTATTATCCCCCTCTCCATACTACAAACCACAAAAGTGGATTTTATAGGGTATATTTCCAATGGGAAAAGAGAATGTACAATTCAGGAATGATACAGAGGGCTCTGTGCTGCTAGCTAGGAATTAGGGATCAGATAATAAAAGTGAAGTAATAAAAGTAATAAAAGTGAAGTCTGGGGCCCTGATGCAAAGAAAGGTGTCTGAATCTATTTTGAGGAAGATCTGGATTCTCTAGAGGTTGACCAAGATAAGCAAGACCTAAGACCCAGGGCTGGAGTCTTCATAGTTTCTTTCTGATTTCTCACAAATCTTTGACCATTTCCTATTTGTCCCAAAGGTCTTCTCCACAGAAATAATGGAGAGGGTAAGTGGTGCTCACAATTAGGCATAATTAACAGGCTCAAAGGAAAAGAATATGTTTAAGGAGGTCAATGAGAATGAGAAAAGAGAAAGTACACACACACACACACACACATACACACACACACACACCCACACACACACACACACACATATATTTCATAGTGGGACTCTGCAATAGCAAGAAACATTGGAAAAAAAACATGAGTGCCATTTGGGGAAAAGCTGAACAAATTGGAATCTACAAATGTAATAGTATATAATAAGACTGTAAGAAATGACAAATTTTATGAAGAATTCTAAGAAACAGGGGAAGACATATAAACTGATGCAGAGTAAAGTAAAAACAAGATGATAACATATACAATAGCTACAATAATGTAAATGAAAACAGCACTAAAATGCAACCAACTTGAGATTAATTGAAATGACCAAGATTGTTCCCAAAGAAAAGAAAAGGAAATATACCTTTTTGGTATCAAGATGGATATGGAATGATAAATATACTGTCAAATGCAGTCACCTTGTTTTGTCAGTTGTTTTTTTGTTTACAGTTTTGTTTGATTTAAAGTAGGATGGGGGTATATTAGGCAATGATTATTATGATCCTTATAGTTCTTTTAAAAGACATGAATACAAGTTGTTAATTGGAGAAAAAAGAAAAGAGGAGCAAACAAATCACCACTCCAAGATTGAAAACCAAGAATTCACACTGGTAACTAGTGCAGAAGGATGACCAGAAAGTTATGAAATAGAATTTTAGACATCAGGGACAGAGCTGGGGATGAAGAAAGGTCTGCTTGGGTTAATGTCAGAAAATTATACTGGAGTGTGGAGTACACAGCATCAAAGAATGATAGTTTGTCTGGATCCAAACCTCCACCTTTTATGTCCTGGCCACACTTCCACCTCTCTGACATATGTCAGTGCCACTTTGGGCTGAACACTGTACATCTCTCAAATAGCCACAAAAAGGTGCCTTGGACTCATAGAATCATAGCCCAAAGAAATTGTGCTTCTGGCAAGTATAAGCTTTCACAAAAGTGGAAAACATAAAACAAACTATTATACTTAGTCACCTAATAGTTCTTGTTGTAACTAGAAAGATCTTTAAAGAAAATTTTTCTAGAATTACGAGATCAATCTGCCAGCATTTATTAAGCACCTCCTAAGTGCTAGACACTGTGCTAAATTTGGGGGATACAGAAAGAGGTAAAAGACAGCCCTCAAGGCAGAAACAGACAACATGCAAACAAATGTGTACAAAGAAGGCTGTATTCAAGGATATATAGGAAATAACAATGAGAGGGCACTAAGATTAAGAGGGTTTGGGGATGGTTTCCAGTAAAATATGAGATTTCAGTTGGAACTTAAAGGAAACCAAGGAAGTTGATAGTCAGAATGGAGTAGATGTTACAGGTATGGGAGACAGAGAAAATGCCTGGAGCTTAGTGATGGAGTGTCTTGTTCATGAAATAGCCAGGAGGCCAGGACACATGTCACTGTATTGAAGATTACATAGCAAGGAGTGAGGTGTGACATGGGAGGTAGGAAGGGGCTAGGATAACCTTTATAAAAAGGGCTTTGAATGCCAAATAGAGCATCCTTTATTTGATCCTGAAGGCAAAATGGAACCATTGAAATTTATTGAGTTGGGGGTGGGGTGTGACATGGTCAGACCTGTGTTTTAGGCAAATGAATGGAGGATGGATTGGAGTGGGGAGGCAGTTGAGGCAGACAGTCCACCAGCAGACTAGTCCAATAATCCAGTCAAGAGTTGATGAGGGCCTGCACTAGAGTGGTAGCAGTGTCAGAGGAGAGAAGGGGGCATATTCAAGAGACGTTGCAAAGGTGGAATTGACAGGCCTCAAGTGTGGAGAGTGAGAGATAGTGAGGAGTCCAGGATAACTCCTGGATTGCAAGCCTAGGAGACTAGGGGAATGGTTTTGCCCGGTACAGTAACAGGGAAGATAGTATGAGGGGTGGGTTTAGAGTTCTGTTTTGGATATATTGAGTTTAAGATGTCTACTGGACATCCAGTTTAAGACAACTGAAAGGCAGTTGGAGATGCCAGATTGCAAGTCAGCTGAGAAAGTTGGGTAGGATTTAAGAATCATCAGCATAAAGATAGTAATTTTGTCTATGGGAGCTGACATGATCACTAAGTGAAGGAGGGAGAAGAGGACCCAGGACAGAACCATGTGGTACTCCTACGGTTAGAGGGCATGATCTGGAAGAGGATCCAGCAAAGGAGCCTAAGAAGGAGTAGTTAGATAGGTAGGAACAGAACCAGGAGAGAGTGGTGTCCTGAAAACCTAGAGAGAAGAGAATATCAAGGAGGAGACAGGGATAAAAATGTGAAAGACTGTCAAGAGGTCATGGAGAATAAGGACTGAGAAGAGAATGGGCAACTAGGATATCATTAGTAACTTTGCAGAGAGCGGTTTCAGTGGAATGATAAGGTTGGAAGCTGAATTGCAAGGGGTTAAGTACAGAGTGAGAGGAGAGAAAGTGGAAGCAATTGTAGATGGCGTTTTTGAGGATTTTGGCTACAAAGGGCAGAAGAGATGTAGGATGAGAGTAGAAATGGAAGGATCAAGTGAGGGTTTTTTTCAGGATAGGGTAAATATGCACATGCTTGTTTGTAGATAGTAGGGAATGAGCCAGTAGATGAAGGGAAAGCTCTTTGGCACCTTGAATTCTGGGATCACTTATTTTAGATACTGTCCATTGGGCTACTAATGGTTTTTAAAAAATCTATAAAAACAGTCAGCATTTATTAAGCCTCTTCTCTGTGCCAGGCACTGTGCTAAGTACTGGGGATACAAAAAGAAGCAAAAGACAGTCCTTGCCCTCAAGGAGCTTATAATCTATTGGGAATAATAATACCTTCACTACCCTAGTGGATTATTGTGAGGCTCAAAAGAAATAACATATATAAAACTCTTTGTAAAGCTTAAAGCATGAAATAAACTTCAGTTGTTCTTGCCATTATTGTTGTTGAGACATTCGGAAAATCTGGCATATGTGACTTTCAGACAACTCAGAGGCCATATACAGAAAGACTTCTTCTGCATATAATACTGGTGTTTTGTTTTAAACACCAGTGACTTCCTATTTACTTTTTTTTTAAAGCAGGCAGAAAAACTGATTATATGAAGGCTAAATTCTAAGACATCATAGGTTGAATTGATTTTTAAATGAATCCTAGAGATTTCCACAGCACGCTCTAATCTGATTCCTACAATACATCATAATTGTGTGCTACTGATGTAATTGCATGTTCTCATACACACAGATGAGAAGAAGCAATAAAATTGAAAAGGAGAGCATTTCTCACCAGTTTAAATCTCTTTATGAACCTTGCTTATCAAAGCCAATGTTGATCTAAATAGGAATTCTTTCATTTAATCCATTTACCTGCCCAGTTTCTTCTTCCAGTTTTTCATAAAGCTTAATGCTGTAATAATGTATTTTCTTCAAGTTTATTCCAGGATGAAAATAAGTTGTTAAACCTGCCTTGGAAAAGTAAAAAAAAAATCAGCATCTTCAGAATTTTTATAGTTATTCATTATGAATTAAACAGCTAACACCACAGTATCCAATGATGGGCTCAGCTTGAATGGCACCTCCACCATAAAACTTTCCCTATTCTTTCAGCCCAACATGTATCTTTCTGTTTTCTGAACTTCTACAGCCCTTTTTGGACTTCTCATACACTAATGAGTCTCTTTTTTATTTAGAATTATTTCTATTTGACAACTAGGTTGTGTTGTGGTTAGAGCACTGAACTTAGAGTCACAAAGATCTGAATTCAAACCAGCCTTAGACACTTATTACCTTTGTGACACTATCTGCCTCAGTTTCCTCAACTGTAAAATGGGGATAATAAAAATACCTACCTCCCAGGGTTGTTGTGAAATTAAAATGAGATTGTATGTATAAAGCACTTTGTAAAGCTCAGAAAGCTATGTAATGCTTTTAGAAGTGGTGTTAAGAGGGGGCAGCTAGGTGGTGCAGTGGATAGAGCACCAGCCCTGGATTCAGGAGGACCTGAGTTCAAATCAGGCCTCAGACACTTGACACTTAGTAGCTGTGTGACCCTGGGCAAGTCACTTAACCCCATTGCCTAACCAAAAAAAAAAAGAAGTGGTGTTAAAGAATATCATAGAAGAAATATGTGACCATGTGTGCAGCATGACTAGCTCTAGCATTCCACTGATACCCATAAAATATAAAAGAAAAAAACCCTCGAAAGTCCTTGGTCCTTTGGGTGAATACTTTGCAGATCTGTGCAGTGACATCAAGAATTAAATAGAATAAGGAGTCATGGGTGAGTTTTGATCTGCTCCCAATGGAATCTCCACACATCCGTGAGATCCCAGATCAAATGAATTATTGAAGTAAATGTGCAACTTATTTCTTCTACTAGATTGGAAACTCCTTGAGGGCAAGGGATTAATCACTAAATTTCAGGCTGTGTCTTTCATACAGAGTGTCCCAAAAGTATTAGGATAGTTTTAAGCTTTAATAGCATAAAAAAATGCCCTAAAACTTTTGGGACAGTCTGTATATCTATCAGTGAATAAATGAATAATGTAAAGTACCAGGTTTAGTCCTTCAGAATAAGATATTGTGAAGATGTGACAAATTTATGAGTTTCATTGACATCAATTCAAACAAGCAAACAAAAAAAAAAAGATCAAAAAGCATTTATTAAAGCATCATGTGCAAGTCACCATTGAATTGGTCTCTGTCCCCAACATGAACAAAAATAAATATAATACAAAGTAGTCTAGGAAATTATGAGGCCAGAGGGTACATTTTCAGCAAGAGATATCCCAGGAACAAAGTAATCATTATGAATTCAACAGTGTATACTTCTTCAAAATACAATTATTTGCAGTAATTGCAAGTGTGGAGATTGTATTGGAGTGGACCAGGCTTGTGATTTCACTGATATAGCCAACTCCCAGTGATCAGCTCTATAGGGTCAGTGAAGAGGAGTTGGTAATGAAGCAAGGGGTTTGATAGAAAAAGCAATGAACTGGTCAGCCCCACCTGGGTAAGAGTTTCAGCTCTGCCACTTAACTGGCTGTGTGAATTTAGGTCACTTCATCTCAGATTCCTTCTCTGGGGACCAGAATTTAAACATTCCCCACATACTTCAAAGGATTGTTGTGATGGAAATGCCATAAATGTTAGAACTATTCTTCTTTTGGGGAGGTAAATAAGTAAACAAAGGCTTCGAAGGCTGCCAAACAGTTTAGACTAGAGGATCCTCCTTCAATAAAAATTCTACTGACAGCAAAAGATTCTCCTTCTTGCCCTTTGTCAAATTTAATGATTTATCCAAGGTCTCACAGTAAGAAGCGACAGAGCTGGGATTAAACCCAAGTTATCTGATTCCAAAATGAAAAAAGTCTCTTCCCTTTAGTTTACATTTAATATAGACTCTGTAGGGCTTCCTAACCTGGGTTTGTGGACCTTTTTTTAAATATTGTAATTATTTTATTTTATAAAATTGGTTTCCTTTGTAATCCCATGCATTTTATCTTATGAATTTAAAAACAGCATTCTGAAAGGGGTCCATAGGTTTTATCAGACTGTCAGTGGGAAAAGGTCAAGAAACCCTGGTATGGAAAAAGAGTAGTATAATTGGCCTTTGAGTCAGGAAAGATGTGGGTTCAAATTTTGCCTGACACATATTGGCTATGTGATCCTGGCCAAAACCCAAATCTTAATGGCCCCAAACATCTCACTAAGATTGTAAATTTCAGAGGGGGCACCCACCTACATTAATAGTGGGAGTTTTTTTTTAATATGGGAGTTCCCTAACAAGGGAAAAGGGGGGGAAATCATAGGTAATGAGTTTATGGTAGAAAGTGGAGAATAAGGGCAGGAGTGATGTCTTAATTATATGTACATCTCCATCTTATCTCCGTTCCCTAGCACAATGCCCTGAACATAGTAGAGGCTCATTAAATGATTGCTGAATGAGTGAATTGGTTAATCTTAGTTTTCTTACTGCATGCCATGTAGATCCAGCAGTGAGTTCCGATGCTTCCAAAAGCACCACATCCTTCATCCCAGCTTTGGCCAGATGGTAAGCTAGGCTCACACCAACACAGCCACCTCCAATGATTACTGTCTCTGCTGTGTCTTTCCATCTTGTTTCCGAAAAGGAAGATGCTTTCCCTTCTCTGAAAAACAATTTAAAAGTCATTTATCTTCCATATTCCTTCTTCATATAGATTCAAGTCATTTCTTATATGTAAATGCTTCTCTGAAATCCAAGGAGGCAGGTACTATATGGACTTACAGTACATCTAACTCTTGGAGAATTGGGGTAAGTAGCAATAGTTGATTAATTAAAACCATCAAGAATTGAGAATTTTTTAAAACAGAGGTAACTAGGTGGCACAATGAATAGAACTCAAGTCTTCCTAACTCCAATTCCAGTATTCTGTGGTGCAGTGGATAGAGTACTGGTCCTGGAGTCAGGAAGAGTCCTCTTCATAAGTTTAAATCCAGCCTCAGACACTTACTAGCTGTGTGACCCTGGGCAAGTCACTTAACCCTGTTTGCCTCAGTTCCTCATCTATAAAATGAGCTGAAGAAGGAAATGACAAACCATGCCAAGAAAATAGCAACCATGCCAAGAAAATCCCAAATGGGATCATGAAGAGTCAGACACAACTGAAATGATTCAACAGTAACAACAAAAAACCACTGTCCCACCCATCACTCTCTATTACTTATTCATATACATTGTGCTGACCTCACATACTCAGTTATTTCCAATGCTGTATTTATGGTCCCAAGGCTTTCTCTATTAAATGTCCTGCTCTTACAAAAAAAGGAAAAATAAGGCCGGAAACCCAAATTATTTGACTTATGGTGGATTGATTTATTTACTAGATAAGTGTTTTTGAAACTTTCCTTTGTCATGCCCCAAGCTTCAGGTGCTATGAGTTAACTCTCAAAAGCTCTTTCTTCTTTTTTGTGTTAGTTGTTCCCTGGTCTCCATGTCAAACAGCTAATGAGGGTTGATTTGCCTTTGATGTCTTGCTTTCACAGTCTCTCAAAGCTTATCTTTTATCCTCTTGCACTCTTAGATCCTTTCCCTTCATTTTATTTCATATATTATGGATTCCTTACTATCTTGTTCTTAGTCATCAAGTTCCTTCTTCCTGCCAATAGCTTCCACTCCAGAGGACCCCATCATATACAATGTGAATCATAAGGTTTCCTGCTTTGCACAATATTGAAAACAAATATGAGCCTGAAAAGATCATCAAATATTTATTTTCCCCAAATTTCAAGTAATTTGAATTATCTCCCTTATTTTGAATGAGAAGAGCCTGGTAGTTAAATTCTGTTCTGTCCCTAAATATTTTCAATTTAATTTTAATTTTATTTTTTCTCAATTACATGTAAACAATTTTAAACTTTTTTTGAGTCCCATACTTTCTCCCTCCCCCTTCCTTGAGAAGGCAAGTGATTTGATACAGATTTTATGTGCAGTCATGCCAAAAAGTTCCATATTAGCCATGTTGCAAAAGGAAATGCAATCTGTCCCTAAATTTTAAAAAAGATTATCAACTTAGAACTGGAAGAGTTTTTTTAGGTAATTTAATCCCATCCCAACATTTATAGATGGGGAAACTGAGGCCCAGAGATATATCTTGTCAAAGGTCACACAGGCAACAAGTGTGAGACTTGGGATTCTTCTTCTTCTTCTTCTTCTTCTTCTTCTTCTTCCTTCTCCTTCTCCTCTTCCTCCTCCTCCTGTTCCCTGTTATTTAATTGGTATAGGCAACTCACACTGTAGAAATTCCATCTACCAAGATCAGTCAGTAGTACATACTCTACAGTTTACAGAGTTGACTGAAGCACTGAAAAGTTAAAAGTAAAAAAAAAGCCACTCCTACCTTGAAGAGTAATGTAAAATGGTCACAAATCCAAAAAGAAATCTTGGAAGAACTTAAAAAGTAACTAAAATATCAAATACGAGAGAATGAGGAAAAATTAGGAAAAAATAAAAGCAATTCAAGAAAATTACAAAAAGTTAGTTAACCAATTAGGAACTCAAGACAGTAAAAAACACCTGCCAAAACAAACCCAGGAACTATACAAACAAAATTGTTTTTAAAAAATTTACACAAATAAAATCAGATTTAAATAACTGGAGAGATATTAATTGTCCTTGGGTACACAGGGCCAATATAATAAAAATGAGAATTTTACCCAAACTAACATACATTTAATGTCATCCCAATTAAATTACCAAAAAATTAATTTGCTAAATTAGAAAAAATGACAAAATTCATTTGGAAAAACAAAAAGTCAAGAATATCAAAGGAAATAATGGGGAAAAAAAGTATAAAGGAAGGAGGCTTAGCAGTAGCAATCTTAAACTGTTTTATAAGGCAGTAATTATCAAAACTCATTGGTACTGGCTAAGAAATAGAAAGGTAGATCAATGGAGTAGAATAGATACACAATTTACAAAAGCAAATAAACATAACAACCTTGTACTCGACAAGTGTAAAGACTTAAGATTTTGGGATAAGAATTCATTATTTAGTAAAAATTTGTTGGGAAAACTGGAAAAATGGTATGGCAGAAATTAGACATGGACAAATGTCTCACACCATTTACCAAGATAAGGTCAAAATGGATACATGACCTAGATATAAAGAGAGATTTTACAAGAAAAGTAGAAGAACATGGGGCATGTTACTTATCAGACTTGTGGATAGGTGAACACTTTATGAATAAATAAGAGATAGCATAATTAGGTATAAAATGGGTAATTTTGATTACATTAAATTTAAAAAGGGTTGTACAAATAAAACAAATATAGCCAAGATTAGGAGAAAAGCAGAAAATTGGGGGAAATTTTTGTAGTTTATCAAATAAAGGTCTTATGTCTAAATATATAAAGAACTTTGTCAAATATAGAAGAATACAAGTCATTCCCCAGTTGATAAATGGTCAAAGGATATGATCAGGCAGTTTTTCAACAAAGAAATCAAAACAATTTAGTCATATAAAAATATTCTAAATCATTATTGATTAGAGAAATGCAGATTAAAACAATTTTGAGATATCATTTTACACCTACCAGATTGGTTAAAATGATAGAAGGGAAAAGTGACAAATGTTGAAAAGGATGTGGAAAAATTGGTATACTAATTCACTGTTGGAGGAATTGTGAAATGATCCAACCATTTTGGAGAGCAATCTGGAATTATGCCCAAAGAGTTATTAAACTACCTATACCCTTTGACCCAGTAATACTACTACTTGGTCTATTTGAAGATGATTAGAGAAAAAAGGAAAAGCACTTATATGTCCTAGAATGTTTATAGCAACTCTCTTTGTGGTGACAAAGAACTAGAAATTGCAGGAATGCCCACCAGTTGGGGAATGGCTAAACAAGTTGTGGTATGTGCCTGCGATGGAATACTACTGTGCTGTAAGAAATGATGAGCTCAATGATTTTAGAAAAATGTGGAAAGACTTGTGAGAAATAATGAAGAGTGAAATGAGAAGAACCAAGAGAACATTGTATACAGTAACAGAATGACTTCAAGTGAATAAGTTATTTTTGTCTATTATAAATACCCGAATTAACTATAAAGGATATATGAAGGAAGACATTATCTGCATCCAGAGAAAGAACTAATAAATAGAAGTATATATAGAATAAATTGATGTGTGTGTGTGTGTATGTGTGTAAATCTATTTGTAGCCATCTCTGAGGGAAAGAGGAAAGAGAAGAAATAAAAGAAAAAAATTTACATGATAATTTTTTGTACATTTAAAAGGAATAGCAAGTTGTCCATAGTAAATTTGCAGTTTCATGTACAATCATCTTTTTTTATTATACTATGTTATGGAAATGCTTGTTTTATTCCATAAATTAAAAATAAAAGGAAAAAAAGATTTCTTCAGGGTCACACAACTAGCATGTGTCAGAGGTAGGACTAGAACTCTGAGGGCCTTTCTTACTCTGAGAAGTCTACCTAACTACCATACCACACTATCTCTCTTCTATACCACAGTACTCAATATAAAGATCCATTTTTCTTTATTCTTTTAACTGTTCTTTAAGCTATAACTTTTTATCATCTCCTTTTGTACTTTGAACCAAAACAACATGTTCCATGTTTTTGTGGATTGGCTATTTTCCATAGCAAATTAATTTTTAAACCTCAGACACGTGTATTTCTCAGTGGGGATACAGAAGTGTAGAATATCAGAACTGAAATTTGATCTTAGAAATTATCTTGTTCAACTCCCTCCTTTTACAAATAAAAAAAGTGAGACACAGAGAGCAAACAACTTACCTAAGCCCCTGGGTTAGTGGATAAAAGAGCTTAGATTAGAACCTGGTCTCTTCACCCTGACAGATAGGTGGTACAGTGGATAGAGCACTGGGCTTGGATTCAGGAAGAGCTGAGTTCAAATCTGACCTTATATTAGCTATGTTACCCTGGACAAGTCACTTAAACCTCTGCCTCAGGTTCCCCAATTGTAAAATTGGGATAATTAATAACATGTACCTTGTGGGGTTGTAGTAAATATCAAACGAGTAAAGCACTTAGCACAGTGCCTTATCACATTGTAGGTATTTAACAAATGCTTTTTTTCCTTTTTTAATTCCCAGTCTAGTGCTCTTTGTTAAAACATTTCATTGAAGATTTGTAAAGCTGTCTGCCCATTACATGAAAATATGATTTATTTCCTTTCTAGAATTTCATAAGAATTTTGGCCAAAGAGAGAGAGAGAGTACTTAAATATTTTGATAGCCAGTTAAGGAAAGTATGAATGTAGAAATACAAGCATAGCCTTTTCTATTCAAACAGGATCAAAAATTAACTATTTGTTTATTACAGAAGCATCAGATTTAGAACTATAAGCGACCCAAGAAAACAACCAGAGCAATCCCCTTATTTTATATATAGGAAACTAAGACCCACAGAAACCAAGTGACTTGGTCATGCACAAGTACAACAAACAAGAGGCAGATCTCAGACTGGGATTGTGTTCTCCAACTCTACTCCTTTCACTGGAGCTACACCATATTTTTCTTCTTCCACCTATGTCATATTGGGTGACTCCTTTTTTGTCACTTTAATCTAACCACCCTCCCAAATAAACATCATTTGTCATCTGAAAAGACAGTTGTGTTTACACAGCACAAAGTAAAACAGAGACTTTCTGATTATCTGGTTAATATAATAAAGCAGTTACCAAAATGGGATTTGTGAGCATAAATTTTCTTATTTAACTGTCAGCAAGTAATCCTTTTAACCGCGGATCAATTCATCTCTGCAAAATCTTTATTTCACTCTTAGTAGTGAACAGAGTCAACAACTCAACAACTGTTGATTGGCTGCATACAAGTACCAGGTGAGAAGCATTGTGGGGTAAAGGAGAGAGAGAGAGCCGTCATGGGAGTCAGGAAGATTCCCACCTCTGACGCTTACTGGCTGTCTGACTCAGGGCAAGCCAGGTAACCTCTCAGTGTCTTGGGCAACTTTATAAGACTCTAAGTTGCAAAGAAGATGCCCCTCTGCGTTGATAGCTCCTGTTGCTCACTGAAAGCTCCCTACACAGGTGGGGGAGGGAATGCCAAGTACCGGTCGCTGGGAATACAAAGAAGAAAAAATATGCCGTCCTTTCCCTCAAGGAGTTTGCACTATATATTATTCAGATTAGAGAAATTGTATTAAATTAAACCGTCATATGAGCTAAGTGGCACTTCCTAAAGTGAAGGCTCTTGACCTGTAAGAATGGCAATATTAAAAAGCAAAGACGCTCTGCTACCAGCCTTAAATCCTATGGTTGTACTCAGAAACGATAAATTGCAAAGGAGTTGGACAGCTCCACCTCTCCCTCCCGCGACTTTGTTCAGCCTTTTAGAAACACAGACTGAACTTTCAGCTCTTTCTTCTCCAACACTTCCACCTTCACCTGTCATCCCCCTCTCCAGCCCAGTCCCAAGCAGGCCCAGGGCTCCGATTTCTAGCACTCACCCTTCCTGGAAGGGGAGCCTGCTGCTGCTGCGGCACACTGACCGCAGCCAGCTGCCCGGGGTCAAGGTGGACTCCACTGTTCGCAGCTGAAACCTTAGCTGCTTCAGGCCACCCAGAAGCATGGCTTGGGTATAGGAGGACAGGCTGACTTCAGGAAACGTGCAGCCCCTTAACAATTCCCAGGTGTCTCCTGAAGCAACGATCCTGGACGTTTCTGAGCAATCAAGCCCCCCGGTTCTAGTAATGGCTCCCTGAGGGCAGCATGCGGTTCGGCCCAGGACTAATGTTGAACAACTCCCGGGGGTGGCCTAGGACCCACCCCTATCCCGATGTGGGCGGGAGAAAGAGGAAGGCCAGGCCCACCCCATGGTTTCCAGCTACTTCTCAGATGCAAGACGGCTACTTTGTCCTCTGAGTCTCTGGGCCAAGCGTTGTCCCAATAGTGGAGAGATGACACCGGTCGGGGGGAAAAGGGTAAAGAAGGTGAGAGTCTTGAGGAGCCAATTTAATTGTTCTTTATGTCTGTCTGTCCGTCCGTCCGTCCAGCTCTCTGTCTATCTCTGTCTTGTCTTCCTGTTGTCCTGTTTGCCTTGTTGGGGTTTTGCGAGGGAGGGAGGGAAGAAGAAGAGGGGAGAGGTTTCCTGTCTGTCTCTTTTTGTCTCTTGTCTTTCTGAATTTCTCCCTCTGTGTGTTTCTCTTCGCCCACCAACACCACCCATCACCACTGCAGCCACCGTCCTCGCTCAGTCCAGATTTTCAGAACTGTCTTGATGGGCCCACGCCTGCCTTCCAACTCGTGCCTACTGCCGCTTCACATCTCCGCCCCCTACCCCTCTCCCGTCTCGCTGGTTTTAGCGTCCACAGATCTTCGTGTGTCCTCCCCGCCCCACACGCATGAGCTGTCTGGGGCAGCTAGGTGGCGCAATGCAGTCAGGAGGCTGAGTTCAAATGCGACCTCAGACACAAGCTATGTGACCCTGGGCAAGTCACTTAACCCCGACTGCCTTCAAAAGCAAAAGCAAAAACAAAAAAAAGGGGGGGGGTGCTGTCTCTTACGGCAGGCTACAGAAGCTGGAGGCAGCCTAATCAGCCCAGGGATTCCTACATCTTCCCTCCTGCCTCAGTGTTTTCAAGGATTTAACAGAGTTTGGAGATCTTAATGTGCATTCATTCAAAACTGCTCTAGGAACAGTAAATATGGCAAAGGGGGGAGGGTAGGGCCCCCTGAAGTAAAATATTGATTATTTAATTACTGTTATATGACTGTTATTTAGATATTCAGCCACAAATTTAGCATAGAAAATAAATCCCAAATCTTGACAGAATACATGATTGTTCATCTATATGTTTAATATCCTAAAGATGTGTAACCTTGGGGAAATCTCAGCCTCTTCGTTTCAGTTCCTCATCTATAAAATAGGGGAGAAGAAGAGATTGGATTTGATGGCCTCTAAAGGCCCTTTCAGCTCTGAATCTATGACTTTATGATTAGAATTACAACGATCTGGGTCCAGCACTTCCAGGCAGATCATTTAACCTCTCTATGCCGCAGACAACTCTCTAGGATTTGTCTACTAAATCATAAACTGGAAGTTTCCCATGAACCTGATGAAATTGCAGATCCTTCAAATATTTGCATTTCATGTTACAGAGACCCAACCAAAGCAGGTGTTTTTATTCTTTGGGGTACTCTAGCTGATTTCATATTTAAGATCAGAAATAGGCTTTGAAGTGCTTTGAGGGTTTTTTCTTCTCCCCAAGGTGGAATCGACAGTGTGCAAATATAGCGAAAATTTTAAAATGTAATCTTGTTCAGTGTTGACATGAAAGACTTCTTGGTACAGTAACTATGAACTCCATCTTCCTAGGCTATACTCTTTGGGTGCATGAAGCTAAATTCTGGTTTTATGTGGTTCGAACTGAAGCAGGAAAGAAGCCCAGTCTCTGGAGTTCACTGCACAGGGAGACAGAGCTCAGCTGTGCATTCTCCTAAGCACTAAGACCTTCAATGGAAAACAAAGCCAACCCAGCACCTTAACATCAGCACCAAGAGTTATATAGGAAGCCCGAGACCTGTGTGAGCATCACTATCCCACTGGGGCTTGTCAGGGTCACAGAAGTTCTTGCCACCAAAGCTATTAGAACCAGAGAACAAAGTAAAAACTAAAAAGAGTTCACTAATTACCAACTGAAAGAAATCCTAAGCTGAAAACACTAAGGAATTTCATAGCCAAACTACAGAGCTAAAGAGAAAAAAATATACTGCAAACAGTCATAAAGAAATAGTTCAGGTACTAAAGCACCATAGTCAAGATAACACAAGAATTAGAAGCGTTTACTATAAAGGTGAGAAAATATTGGAATATGATATTCCAAATGGCAATAAAAAGTTACAAGCAAGAATAACCCACCCTGGGGGCGGAGCCAAGATGGCAGAGGGAAAGCAGTGACTTGCTTGAGCTCTCCCCCAAACCCCTCCAAATACCTATAAAAAATGGCTCCAAACAAATTCTAAAGCAGCAGAACTCACAAAAAGACAGAGTAAAACAAATTTCCAGCCCAAGAAAACCTAGATGATTGATTGGAAAGGTATATCACGCCGGGAGGGGAGAGGAGTGCAGTTCGGGTGTGGGCTTGCAGGCCCCAGCGAACCTGGAGCAGGCCTCAGAGGACTGAATCACAGGTGGCTGTGGTGGTTTCCAGACTTCTCAACCCATGAATGCCAAAGACAACTTAGAAGGTCAGTGGGAAAAGTCTGTTTCTGCAGTGAGAGAGACGCTAGGTCTCAGCCTCAGCTCCCAAGTGTGGCCCCGAGGTGGCGGCTGCCTCCTGAGCTTCCAGCCCACAGACTGAGTGGGAATCGAGTTGCTGATCAGAGGGGGATTGCAGGGATCTCTCTGCTGTTGCAGGATTCTCTTGCTTTGCCCATGCTTGAATCTGGGTCTCAGTTCTGGGTGGCAGTCCTAGGGCGAGGAGGAGCACTGGTGTGGTGGAGCTTGTAGTGGTGGTGGAGAGGAAATCCTCCTCACAGTTCCAAGACAAAAAAGAGTGCTTGTGGTCACTTATAGACCAGAGCCCAGGCCAGGAAAGGAGTAAACACCTTGCCCCTTATCATATCACCTTGGAAGAACTGAAAATTTATAGGTCCCTAGAAGTATCTCGGAAAACAGCTGTACAAATCCCCAAAGCTCGGGACAGTACATTCTCCACATTGGAAGCAGATCTCTACCTTAATAAAGAGTTTATAACTCAAGTAATTGGCAGGGATCATGAGCAAACCTCGCAAGAAGTGTCAGACCATAGAATCCTTTTTTTTGGTAACAAAGAAGATCAAAACATACAACCAGAAGAAGACAACAGAGTCAAAGCTCCTACATCCAAAGCCTCCAAGAAAAATATGAATCAATCCCAGGCCTTGGAAGAGCTCAAAAAGGATTTTGAGAAGCAAGTAAGAGAAGTAGAGGAAAAACTGGGAAGAGAAATGAGAGTGATGCAAGAAAATCATGAAAAACAAGTCAACAGCTTTCTAAAGGAGACCCAAAAAAATACTGAAGAAAACAACACCTTAAAAAATAGCCTAACCCAAATGGCAAAAGAGGTCCAAAAAGCCAATGAGGAGAAGAATGCCCTCAAAAGCAAAATTGGCCAAATGGAAAAGGAAGTCCAAAAGATTACTGAAGAAAATGCTTCTTAAAAATTAGAATAGAGCAATTGGAAGCTGGTGACTTTATGAGAAATCAAGACACTGTAAAACAAATCCAAAAGAATGAAAAATTAGGAAACTGTGAAATATCTCATTGGAAAAACAACTGACCTGGAAAATAGATCCAGGAGAGAGCATTTAAAAATTATTGGACTATCTGAAAGCCATGATCAAAAAAAGAGCCTAGACATCATCTTTCAAGAAATGATCAAGGAAAACTGCCCTGATATTTTAGGATCAGAGGGCAAAATAGAAATTGAAAGAAACCACTGATCTCCTCCTGAAAGAGATTCCCAAAGGAAAACTCCTAGCAATATTGTAGCCAAATTCCAGAGTGCCCAGGTCAAGGAGAAAATATTATAAGCAGCCAGAAAAACAATTCAAGTATTGTGGAAACACAATCAGGATAACACAAGATTTAGCAGCTTCTACATTAAGGGACTGGAGGGCATGAAATATAATATTCCAGAGGGCAAAGGACATAGAATTACAACCAAAAATCACCTACCCAGCAAAACTGAGTATAATCCTTCAGGGGAAAAAATGGTCATTCAGTGAAATAGAGGGCTTTCAAGCACTCTTGATGAAAAGACCAGAGCTAAATAGAAAATTTGGCTTTCCAATACAAGACTCAAGTGGAACATAAAGAGGTAAACAGGAAAGAGAAATCATAAGAGACTTATTAAGGTTGAAATGTTTGCATTCTATTTGTAACTCATGAGACCTTTGTCAGTATTAGGGTAGTTGGAGGGAAAAAATTATATGTATGTATGTATGTATGTATATAGATATAGATATAGATGTAGATATAGATAGATAGATAGATAGATAGATGATAGATAGATAGATAGATAGATAGAGGGCACAGGGTGAGTTGAAGATGAAAGGGTGATATCTGGAGAATAAAATTAAGGGATGAGAGAGGATTATACTGGGAGAAGGAGAAAGGGAGAGGTAGAACGGGGTAAATTATCTCACAAAAAAACAGGAAAGAGAAAGCTCTTACAGTGGAGGGGAAACAGGGGAAGGTGAGAGGGAATGAGTGAATCTTATTCTCATAGGATTTGGCTTAAGGAGGGAATAACATACACACTCAACTGGATACGGAAGTCTGTCTTACCCTACAGGAAAATAGGGGGAGAAGGGGACAAGAGGGCAAGGGAATGATAGAGAGGACGACAGATTGGGAAAGGGGGTAATCAGAAGCAAACACTTCTGAGGAAGGATAGGGTCAAAAGAAAGAATAGAATAAATGGGGGGCTTGGGATAGGATTAAGGGAAATAGAGTTAGTTTTTCACAACATGACTACTATGGAAGTGTTTTGCATAACTGCACATGTATAACCTATATTGAGTTGCTTACCTTTTCAGTGAGGGTGGGTGGGAAGGGAGAAAGGGAGAAAATTTGGAACCCAAAGTTTTAAAAACACATGTTTAAAAAAAATGTTTTCACATACAACTGGGAAATAAGAAATACAGGAAATGGGGTACAGAAATCTATCCTGCCCTACAGGAAAGTAGAAGGGGAAGGGGATAAGAAAAGGGGGAAGAGATAGAAGGGAAGG